GTTTTGTTTTCAAGGCCTGGATTTGAATGCCTTCGAATACAATGCTTGCTGGCTATTTCTGGTCTTGTGAAGCCGTACTCACTCACATACTAGAGGAAGATGTCACAAGACAATATTTGGACCAGTGGCCCAAATTGCAGACTGTTGACCCCCTTTCTGTCCGTCAGTTTTATGTAGTTTTCCTTGGTTCTTGAAGGGCAACTAGATCCTTGGAACAGTTTCCTTGTCTATTTGAATAAAACTTTTTAATGAAAGTTTTTTTCTTTATCCTTGAAATAGATTAAGTTCCAAAATTTGAATTTGTTTGATAATTGCATACCATTGATTTGTGGTAAGGGCATACGCCATTGTTACTTCAACCCACACAAAGCGGGAATAGAATTTATTTTTTTGTCTGTTTCAGACAATCCCTATTATCTGAGTTCGAGCCAACCCCTGTCACAAAGTCCAGGAGAGCAATGGAATTATCTACCAACAGAATCACGCCAATCTAAGGCATTAAGTCAAAGTGAAAGATCAGTTTACTATCCCCACACCAGGAATGACACGCCCAACAAAAGTGGCAAACCTATTCAGTGTGAGGAGTGTGGCAAAACGTTCACTCAGCTTGTAAGCAAACGCATCCACATGCAGTCGATCCATCAGAACATTACCCATTCGTGTTTGTGTGGAAAGGTGTATCGGTACCAGCGAGGATTGAGAAGGCATTTGGCAGAAGGGTGTGCTGCTGCTCAACAGAACATAGCCTAGGCTGCTTTCAGTATCAGTGTTTCTGACAAAGAGGTCAATTTGAAGGGCAATGTCCTAAGCCTTGCGGTCATCTATGTGTAAGACTGTTGGAGAGAGACGCAGTTCAGGGCTGACAGTCTGCAATGTCCTCAGCCTGTGGCTGGCCGTCATCTATGTGTAAGACTGTTGGACAGACGCAATGCAGGACGGACAGTCTGAAATGTCCTCAGCCTGTGGCTGGCAGTCATCTGTGTGTAAGACTGTTGGACAGAGACACAGTGCAGGGCTGACAGTCTGCAATGTCGTCAGCCTGTGGCTGGCCGTCATCTATGTATAAGACTGTTGGACAGACACAGTGCAGGGCTGACAGTCTGCAATGTCCTCAGCCTGTGGCTGGCCGTCATCTATGTGTAAGACTGTTGGACAGACACAGTGCAGGGCTGACAGTCTGCAATGTCCTCAGCCTGTGGCTGGCCGTCATCTATGTGTAAGACTGTTGGACAGACACAGTGCAGGGCTGACAGTCTGCAATGTCCTCAGCCTGTGGCTGGCCGTTATCTATGTGTAAGACTGTTGGACAGAGAAGCAGCAAGTTCAGCTAACACCATGGTCGATAACTTTGTAATGTTTGTCTTTTGGAAAGGTCAGCAGTCAGTCATTAATGGTACCCCATGGTTTGCTGCTCATAACATCAATTGCTAGTTTGTACCGTACTGACTGTTCACAAGCTTCTGTCATGATGCTGGAATGTTGGTGAGTGGCGTTAATCAACAAATACACAAAATAATGCAATCATCAGTCATGTTGCTAGGACGTAGGACATATTTTTTTGCCAAGTCTGCAGTCTGATGTTTTGTTATTTCTTGAAGTTATGATAGGAACTTTGTTGAGAGTTGATGTTTACGTGATGGTCATCTTCTGCTGTCAGCATGCACTAGACGGTACTTGTGTGACGAGTGGGTGTGAAGGCACATAGTTTCACATGAAACTAGATACGTATACATGTGAGAGTCATGTTAATGTTTCGGTCAATAGCAGGTTGTTTACCAAGGTAGCAGGACGTAACCGAGGTAGCAGGTTGTTAACCGAGGTAGCAGGTTGTTAACCGAGGTAGCAGGACGTAACCGAGGTAGCAGGTTGTTAACCGAGGTAGCAGGTTGTTAACCGAGGTAGCAGGACGTAACCGAGGTAGCAGGACGTAACCGAGGTAGCAGGTTGTTAACAGAGGTAGCAGGTTGTTTACAGAGGTAGCAGGACGTAACTGAGGTAGCTGGTTGTTAACAGAGGTAGCAGGTTGTTACCCGAGGTAGCAGGACGTAACCGAGGTAGCAGGTTAACGGAGGTAGCAGGTTGTTAACGGAGGTAGCAGGACGTAACCAACGTAGAAGGACGTAACCGAGGTAGCAGGTTGTTAACCGAAGTAGCAGGTTGTTTACAGAGGTAGCAGGTTGTTAACCGAGGTAGCAGGTTGTTTACAGAGGTAGCAGGAGGTAACCGAGGTAGCAGGATGGTCACCTGCAGTGATTCAGCATTATCATGTCAAATGGATTTTTTGTTACTTTCAGGCCAAGGTGGGATTCTGGCCGAATACTCAGTTCAGATTCCTATTAGACCTTTTGACACACAAGGAAAGTTACTGGAGGCAGACATGTTTAGGCTATCCGAGTCCCATTCAAACCCTCCAGGCATCGAGTGGCCAGGCACTCCTCAGTGCACAGAGTGTGGCAAGACATTCAGCTCTGTCCAGAGCTGCCGGCGACATGTTGACCAAGTCCACAGGAAGCTGTGTTTCACCTGTGAATGCGGGAAGGGCTTTGCCCGGACAGACGATCTGAAGAGACACAAGGCCGCAGCCCACGAGAACCAGGCCTGTTACTGTGTTTGTGGGAAGAGTTACGTGTATGCAAGGAACCTTCGGAAGCATCAGAAGACTTGTCCCATATTCATAGAGAGGTTGCAAAACTGACGTTTTCATGGAGGCAGATGAGGGTGTTCAGTTCTTGTGGGAGAGATTCATCAGATTTGCTGTTTTGACAGAAACTTGAAGACTAATTTGATGTGTTCTGTTCATGTGGAGATAATACACCTTGTGGTTCAATTGTTTCTGTCCTTCCTTCAAGACAGCATTCTGCTCAAAAAGCAGTCGGGGTTACGGTGTAGAACTGATGCCGTTATAACTATTTTCAAAACATTTCACTATTTACCACAGCGGCTAACAAGCAGTATTTGGGTTTATTTGCAAAGGCTTTGTCCAGTACTTCATAGTTCATTGCAGTTAAACTTTGTCAAGAAATATTATTTCTGGACACTAATAATTTCTGATGTAACACATACCTCATGAACAGCTGCGACACAAACATGATGCTCTCCAGGGCTATCATCCTGTGAGGGTGGGCACGGGTGGCCCAGTCGTCTAAGGCGCCGCAATTCGCTGTGCAGAGTTGCGTCCCTTGGGCACGCCAGAAACCTATGATTGTGGGTTTGAATCCCAGTTCACCCCAATTATGTTTCTAGGTTTGTCAGCACCATACCCGTGCTCGTGGGTTTCACCGAAGTGGTAAACGTCTTGAGACCTGCATCACTTCGGGCTTTCCTCCCACATTAGGGTGACACGCAGCGATATAACTGGAATACTGTTAAAAGCGGCGTTAAAACCCAACTCACTCACTCACTCACTCATCCTGTGGTTATATATCTTTAATCACAACTCACACATGTCTAAGTTTGTTTGTTGTTTAAAGCAGCACTCAGGAATATTCCACCTATATGATGGCCATCTGTACATAACTGAGTCTGGACCAGACAATCAAGTGATTGACATAAGCCTGACCACCCGATCCCTTTAGTCGCCTCTTAGGGCAAGCATGGGTTGCTGAAGACGTATTCTACCCCGGATCTTCACGGGTCACAAGCAGCAGAACAATAGAATACAAAATTCAAGGAACCCCCATGGGTCATGGACAGATATATGACACATAGGTATGGTAATAAGTAACTAACAGGCTTAATGTAGGAGGGATGCCTCACACAGCCTGACAACTCCCCTTGACTGAGACTCCCACAGACATAATACAGAAATTAGATATTAAATATACTCACTGCCAAAAGAAATGCGAACAATAGGATTTGGTTGGTTGGTTTGTTGTTTAATGCCGCAGTCAGCAATATTCCAGCTATATGACGGCGGTCTGTAAATAATCGAGTATGGACCAGACAATCCAGTGATAAATATCATGAGCATCGATCCACGCAATTGGGATCGATGACATGCATCAACCAAGTCTGCGAGCCTGATCACTCGATCACGTTAGTCGCCTTTTACGATGAGATAGTTGCCTTTTACGGCAAGCATGGGTTGCTGAAGACCTATTCTTCCCCGCAATCTTCACGGGTATAAACGAACAATAGGAACATGTAGAGAAGTATGTAAGTTGAGAAGAGATGTTTCCAATGTGTACCAATTAATGACAAAAAACTAACAATCAGTCAAGTGTTACCACAGAGTGTCTTTATTCTTATCACAATACGCTGCATGTGGTTTCCAAACTGTATCCTTAAATCGTGCACGAGACAAATGGTACACCTCGAGTCATGTATCTACTATGTCACATGTGATAGCATTCATGATCATCAATTCACACAATGTACCAGTATGTTCGTTTGTGCATCAAACCAATCTGATATCTCTTGAATATGAATAAGTCTTCATATATTAACAAACGTGTATGGTATTCACGTTTCTTTTGCCGGTGAGTATATAATAACATAGAAAGTGGGTTGGGAGGGTGCTGGTTTTTAATCTAAACCACCACCACATGCGACAACACCAAGTCCCGCCAATATTCTGATTGGCTAATAGTCATGATAATGGTGGTATTTGACCCCCAGACCCCGAGACTTTGTAAACATTGATGATTAAGGGATTTTGAAGTTTCACCAAAATAATGACAAGTTCATCAGACAAGTCCCTTATATGAAACAACTTAACTTCACAACAAAGCTAATCATGTTTGGGTGACTGTGAAATAAATGAGTCGAGCTTGTATTAGCTGAGCTTTTATTAGCTGGAATGTGTATCCGTATTTCAGCAAAGTCTGCGCAATCAAGAGCCTTGATGCAGACTTTTTGCAGATTTTTCGCAGATCTTTCACAGACTTCTTGCCGACTTCTTGCAGCCATGAGATGCAAACATAGTGTTAATTTAGTCAGTGGAAGCTTTCTACAGACATCCGAATCTTGTATTTCAACAGGTGTTATTTTGTTACTTTCAGATTCTATAGTCAGAATGCTGCAGTCACCTTCTCAAGAAATGCCCCAAGATATGGGAGGATTGTCTGGAGTAATCTGCAATTTTCAGTTTTCCAATATCTCTTCCTCAAATCAGTGCAGTTTATGTGGCAAGCTCTTCTCTAGTCAAACTAGCTGTAAGCGGCATATGGAAACCAGTCACGGAAACTTGAAGTTTCCGTGTGACTGCGGGAAGAGTTACACGAGACAGACAGACCTCCACAGACACCAGGCAGCTGCTCATGGGAACGAGGCTTGTGTTTGTGTGTGCGGGAAGATGTACGTGTATGTTCGGGGGCTGAGAGCCCACCAGAAGAACTGTACCATATATAAGGCCACTGTTTGAAAATAGACAGGAGCATGTGGGGCAGTGGTTTAGCCGAGTAGTTAAAGTGTTCTCTCATCATGCTGGAAGCCCAGGTTTCATTACCAGCATCTGTGTTCGAAGCCATTTTCTGGTGTCCCCACCTAGTATTGCCGGAACATTGACAAAAGCGATGTAAAGTTGACCTAAAGTAATGTAGAGCTTAGAAGAAGAGTCATGTTCATGTGTGGCATTAAGGACTCTCAGATACAGACATTACTCATGAAAACGTATGACACAGAAACATGTCTGGTGTCCAGTGTTGTATGTGTGGGTGCGTGACTTCTCTTTATGTGTTCTTGACTGGGTAAAGGGGCACAGGTGGCCCCGGACAGGAACTGCTTGTCACCGTGTAGAGTTGTGTCCCATAACCAAGCACCTGGAATGTGATCCTTGGTCTTTCTGTGCGCCTGGGATGCGATGGCTGGAGTCCCAGACTTTGATCCTTGGTCTTTCTGTGCGCCTGGGATGCGATGGCTGGAATCCCAGACTTTGATCCTTGGTCTTTCTGTGCACCTGGGTTTCACAAAAGTGGCGAATGTCTGTAATCAACTTATCATTTTCTCCCAGAACAAGCACAACAGGACTTCCATTCAAAGCAAAGTTTAACACAAATCAATCAGTCACTTGGCTGGAACTTTTTACGACTTGTATCAATGAAGAAGGTGACTTTGTGCTTTGACTTCTTGCTGATATTGATTGCTGTGGCAAACCTTTGACTTTGTTTCATCATCATTATCATTTTTTCATCATCATCATCATCATCATCATAATAAAGTGGAAAACGTCTGAGATCTGCATCACTTTGTGCTTTCCTCCCACAATAAGCCATGATATCACTGGAATACTGTTGGGATTTTGTATCAAGGTTAGATATTTTTCAGCGTCAGCTAGGACTATGTTGGAAGCAGATAAGAAAGTTACCCTGGTCATAAGGAGGGAATTGGATCAGGTGGTGATCTATGTGACCGATTGCATGTCATTGTGCCCACTGATACAGGACAGTGTTCATTCTCTCAGTGTCGGGTTTGTCTGCCCAGGCATGTGTTGTAGGAACCAACCAATCAATATTCTGGAGGGGGGATTTCAGTTGCAGCTGCAAAACCAGATATTTTTTTGTATTTTGAACTATTTTGAACCAGGATTATTTAATTAAAGAGTGAGTGAGTGAGTATGGTTTTACGCCGCTTTTAGCAATATTCCAGAAATACCACAGCGGGGGACACCAGAAATGGGCTTCACACATTGCACCCATGTCGGGAATCGAACCTGGGTTCGTGTGCTTTAGGTCTTCCAGCCTTGTATTGTGATTTGTTGACTATATTGAAGTCAAAATTTCTCTTGTGTCAGATATATCAATGATTTATATAAGATTCTAAACTAGCACCCTTGGCAGGCAAATTGGGAAGATAAGCATAATTTTTTTCAAAACTTGGATATTTCTTACAGGACTTACTTTCCCAAGTTCTCAGGTATTTCAAGCATCTTATTCGTTATTGGTCCTGTTATGAGGTAGCCTAGTGGTTAAGCGTTTGCCCCTCATGCCGAAGACCCAGGTTCGATTCCCGACATGGGTACAATGTGTGAAGCCCATTTCTAGTGTCCCCCGCTGTGATATTGCTGGAATATTGCTAAAAGTAGCGTAAAACCAAACTCACTCACTCACTAACTCCACAAACCATAACACAAGTTTGACTAGATTAACATGAACTGGACAAGTTTAAATTCCAATTTGGGAATTTTCACTGACACTAGATACAGACTTGGGTCAAAATATCGGCCTCTGAACAGGTAGAGATAAACCCAATATCTCTTTCTAGGAATCACTAGGTAATGCAGTATCATACTGCCAGAAGCTTTTGTCTTTGTCAGTGACTCAGTGTATTTGCATCATGTTACATGGGCCGGCAGACCCAGGAAGATCCGGGGTAGAATAGGTCTTCAGCAACCCATGCTTGCCATAAAAGGCGACTATGCTTGTCGTTACGGGATCGGGTGATCAGGCTCGCTGACTTGGTTGATGCATGTCATCGTATCCCAGTTGCGTGGATCGATATTCATGATGTCAATCACAGGATTGTCTGGTCCAGACTCGATCATTTACAGACCGCCATCATATAGCTGGAATATTGCTGATTGCGGCGTTAAACAACAAACAAACAAAACATTGTGTACAGGATATTTGTAACTTGACATAATATATGCCTCATCTATGTCTAATCCTGTTCATAAAATAAAAATTTATTATGAAATCTACTTTTCTCCTTTATGTCTTTCTGAGAATTTCAGGGGGCAGTCGGGTAGCCTAGTGGTTAAACGTTCGCTCGTCACGCCGAAGACCCGGGTTCGATTCCCAACATGGGTACAATGTGTGAAGCCCATTTCTGGTGTCCGCTGCCGTGATATTGCTGGAATATTGCTAAAAGCGGCGTAAAACTATACTCACTCACTCACTCTGAAAATTATGTCTAAGAGTCGTTCTAGGCTTTTTCAGGTTGGATGTAATGGTGACGAGGAGCATGATGGATAACAACTTCTTTATTGTACATACACAGTGTTTCAGGGCTACTTCTGGCCCTGTGGTCGGGTGGTGGTATAGCCCAGTGGTTAAAGCGTTTGCTCGTTATGCCAAAGACACGATCTTGATTACCACATGGGTACAATGTGTGAAGCCCATTTCTGGTGTCACCCGCCGTGATATTGCTGGAATATTGCTAAAAGCGGTGTAAAACCACACACACTCATCTGTTGCTTGGGACCTATTCCATCTTCGAAATCCCTGTGGGGCTTTTGTCACAATCAGATCTCAGCTAATCCTGTGTCAAGCAATTTGTTGTGTGCTGGGTGATTGCTACTTGACTTGTGCTGGAGACTTGCAGGACATTGACAAGAGCTTCAAGGGGAAGTCGGGTTGGTAATATGAGTTAGCTCATCAAGCTCAAGACCTGTGTTCAATTTCCAAACAATTTGTTAAGCCCTTTCATGGGGTACCTTGTGACATTGCTGAAATAGTATGAAAAGTGGCCTCATACTCATCCACTCACTCACTCACTCACTCACTCACGCACGCACTCACTCACTCACTCACTCACTCACTCACTCACTCACTCACTGAGATATTCTTTGCAGGGGAAGAGATGATAATGTTGGACTAGTGCTACACACAGTCTCACACACATAGTGATTTCTGTGTCTGCATCTGCACCCAAACACACACCCACCCACCTACTCACTCACTCATTCACACAGACCCTCCCATTCACACCCACCCACTCACACAGACCCTCCCATTCACACCCACCCACTCACCCACCCAGTCACCCTCTCACCCACCCACCCACCCACTCACTCACTCACTCACTCACTCACTCACTCACTCACTCACTCACTCACTCACTCACTCACTCACTCACTCACTCACAATTAGCAAGACAACAATGACACCCCACCCTACCCCCCAGCTATGTGGGTGACTGCCACTGGAGATATATTATAGAGGTTGGTTGGTTGTATTGTTGTTTAACGCCGCACTCGGCAATATTCCAGCTATATGACGGCGGTCTGTAAATAATCGAGTCTGGACCAGACAATCCAGTGATTGATATCATGAGCATCGATCCACGCAATTGGGATCGACGACATGCATCAACCAAGTCAGCGAGCCTGACCACCCGATCCCGTTAGTCGCCTTTTACGACAAGCATAGTCACCTTTTACGGCAAGCATGGGATATTATAGAGGATCTTGATGGGGTGTATTTAGTCAGTCGTCAATAACGTTTTAGAAAACACTTGAACAGAGGAAAAGCTGTCAAGTTGAAACTAAAAAGCGAAATCATCTCTATGTGAATCGTCAGTCTGTCTACAGGCATGAGAGGGAAATGTGGGGACAACTGGTTCTGCTTTCGTTTCATTACTGCAATCCGTGTTTTGCAAATACCCAATACCGACTGGTTTTGTTGTGTTTTTTTAGATTTAGTTAAGTACAATTGTACAAGCTTTTTGGACGATTTTGATAAAAGAGTAAAGTTTTAATTTACTCAAACAATAAGCATTTAATCCATCTTAAGATTACAGCTGTGTTGTTTTAGTTATTTTGCACTAAACAATATACCCCATGAGGACACTCAGTACATGTTCTGGACATGTGATTTGCAAGCTTGGCTTCAGTTTATTTATTTATGTTAAAATAGGGGGCACGGGTGGCCCAGTCGTCTAAGGCGCCGCGATTCGCTGTGCAGAGTTGCGTCCCTTAGGCACGCCAGAAACCTATGATGGTGGGTTCGAATCCCGGTTCGCCCCGATTATGTTTCTAGGTTTGTCAGCACCATACCCGTGCTCGTGGGTTTCACCAAAGTGGTAAACGTCTGAGACCTGCATCACTTCGAGCTTTCCTCCCACATTAAGCTGACACGCCGTGATATAACTGGAATACTGTTAAAAGCGGCGTTAAATCCAACTCACTCACTCACTATGTTAAAATAATCTTCAAGTTTGAAAGGTAGAAATGTTTAGTTATTTCATTGGCTTGAATAAACAACACAGTTCCTGTGTTCCTGGCTATAGTGTTTCTCCAGCTTCATTTCAACATCTCTTAAAACTAGATTTTCATTCCTTTCAGGAAATGAAGACACTGAGTGTTTGGGTCAAATGTCTCAGCAATCGGCCAGGGAAAGGAGGAGTATATCCAATTCTGATGAAGTTCCTCAGCCAATGCTTGCATCCCCCGGGGTATCGTACGCGGATGATGGCTCAGTTGGTCCCAGAATAACGAAACCGTTTCATTGTGACATGTGTGATAAAGCTTTTTCTGATGCATATGGTGTTCGGAGGCACAAGAAGGCAGAACATGAAAACGTTACACATGCATGCGTTTGTGGACGAGTCTATAAGTACCGGAGTGGTTTTACGCAACATCTGAAATCCTGTAGTGTCCACAGATTCGGGCCTGAGAAGCAGTAGACTTCTTTGAAACGTCTTGACTGCGCATCATTGATCAGATTCATAAACATGGACAAGCTGATATATCCGATTTTTGTGTCCATTGGTGATAACATTGTTTGTTCCATGCTGGATTTTAAGTTTCAAGGGGGTGTGATGACTTTGTGGACAACTCTCTCCTGACCTTTGCGTCACCTACCCCTAAATTATGCTGACGCATGGCATCATTTGGCTCGGTTGGAGAGGAATAACTTTGATGGGAATATCACATGAACATTTGACTCTGAACATCAAGCGGGATAATTGTGTGTCTTCCTTCTTGATCATCCCTTTCTTTCGTGCTCAGTTTGGTAGTTTTGGAAGCATGTGTTCTTTCTTCGTCAGTTTTCGCCATGTTGGATGGATCAGATAATGTTACAATAGTACAGACAAGTCTTGAGGCAAGTGCACTTTCTTGGTCGTCCCTTTGTAAGCCTTCATCAGTTTTGAACGTGCCTAATGGATCAGCTGGATGTGACACAGCTTCATCAACCAATTCTCTTTCAGGCAGCCTTGTTTTACGCCATAGAACTACGTCCCTGAAGGTTTTTGTTTTGAAAACTGCATCCCTATTGTGTGTGGTCTAGTGTCGGGATAAACCATGTTTTCTGTGAAAAGTCATCTTGGTGTGTTTGAACAATGTCCACACAGCAGACTGAAAACCAATTTTTACTTCTTTCAGGAAAAAAAGACCGTGCACGTTCAGGAAATCCCCATCCCTCTGCACAGACCTCAAAGGAACCTATGGCCTCTGGAGGATGGGTCTACCCATCCTTCCCAAACTCTTCCCACTTTTCTCAGTTTGTTGTCTTTGACCAAGATCCAAAAGGGGAGAAGGTTTACAATTGTGGAATTTGTGGCCGATCCTTTTGTGATGCTCGAAGTGTCCGCAGGCACAAGAAGGCAGAGCATGAAAACATCACCCATTCCTGTGTTTGTGGCCGAGTTTATAAATACAGGAGTGGCTTCACTCAACACCTGAAGACCTGCTTGGTTCACAAGCTTGCAGAAACAAGCTGACATTAACTTGATGTTGAACAATATGTTTAAGACACTAGCTTCTTTTGTCTGCAGTGGTTTGCAAGGAACACTGGATATTGTAAGGAGTAATACATTGTAGCTGTAGCTGAGGTTTCTTTGTTGGAAATGTCTTAACATCTCCAGACACACTTACTTGCTTCTGGAAACTAGCTTAACACATACCACTTGTAGACAGTGAAATACTATGTAGGAGATTATTCATCTGTGGATGAGTTTTCAACTCTGTGGGAGACAAAAGTTCCAGGCCAAAAATGCCAAAATTTGAAGCAAACTATGACGAGAACATCACTCCTGGGCAGACGCAGTGATTTGATTGTCTGCCTCAGATGTACAGAAGTAACACCGTTGATGTGGACACCATTTATCTGGTTTTGGGTAAAGAGCATTCAATCATATCTGCCTGAGGTAGTCATTGTGGGTTCAGGAAACAAAAATGTTGAAAGCATTGTTGAATTTACAGATTCTAACAATCAAATCAATGCTTAAGGGTATCCTGTTGGAGCTGTTATAATGTACCGAGCGTGCGCTTCTATTGTCAGCATTTTTAACCTTTATAAATTGACTACCAGTAATGATGAATGGATTTGGAGAACCTGAACAATGAAATTGGGTAAAGGTTCCAAAGTAAATTTGTGTTATCAGTTCTCAGAAATACATCAGTACTACCTGTAGTCCCTCAGTAAGCAGAGTGCAACACCACAGAAACTGTTTTTTGTCTGATAATATTCATGCTCAAATCGTCATCACTGTTAACTTCCGTCATTGGTATCATGATTTCTATGGCCTGCATCCATCATTGCCTACAAGTGTCTAACACACAGTAGCTCTAAATTTTATTTCCTTTCAGGCACAGGACTAGTTGCCAGCTCAATGTTAACATTCCACGTCCAGAATCCAAAGACTTCGCATGGAGTTTCTCAGCACGCAGAAGACATGTTCCAAGTACCCTTCCAATCGTCTTCTCAAGGAGCTAATTTCGATCCC